AAAATCCAACACCCTTTCATGATAAAAGCTTTGAAGAAACTAGGAATAGAAGGAACGTTCCTCAACATAACTAAGGCTATATATGACAAACCTAGAGCCAACATCACACTAAATGGAGAACAACTGAAACCGTTTCCCTTAAAGTCAGGAACAAGACAGGGCTGTCAGCTTTCTCCACTCCTATTCAATATAGCTTTGGAATTCCTAGCTAGAGCAATGAGACAAGAGCAAAAAATAAAAGGGATTCAAATAGGTAAGGAAGAAGTAAAACTATCCCTATTTGCAGTTGACATGATCCTATACTTAAGAGACCCAAAAAACTCAACCAAAAAACTACTAGAAATCATAACCTCTTTTGGCAAAGCAGAGGACACAAAATTAACATACAGAAATCAGTAGCTTTCTATATACCAACAACACACAGACTGAGAAAAATCAGGGAAACAATCCCATTTACAATAGCCTCAAAAACAATAAAGTATCTTGGAATAAATTTAACATAAGAAACCAAAGACCTTTTTAATGAAAACTATAAACCACTGATGAGAGAAATCAAGGAAGACTTCAGAGGATGGAAAGATCCTCTATGCTCATGGATTGGTAGAATCAACATTGTGAAAATGGCCATACTACCAAAAGCAATCTACATGTTCAAACGCAATCCTTATCAAAATTCCAATGACATTCTGCACAGAAATAGAAAAAGCAATTGTGAAGTACATATGGAAAAACAAAAGACTTTTGAATAGCCAAAGCATTTCTGAGCAAAAAGTTCAATATTGGAGGCATCACAATACCTGACCTCAAATTATACTACAGAGCCATAACAATAAAAATAGCATGGCATTGGCACAAAAACAAACAGTAAGACCAATGAATCAGAATAGAAAATCCAGACATAAGCCCACATATCTATAGCCAGCTGATCTTTGACAAAGGAGCCAAAAAAACACAATGGAGAAAAGACAGCCTCTTCAACAAGTGCTGCTGGAAAAACTAGATATCTACATGCAGAAGACCAAAACTAGATCCCTGTCTTTCACCCTGTACCAAAATCAATTCAAAGTGGATCAAAGACCTTAATGTAAGGCCTGAAATTTTGAAACAACTCCAAGAAGCAGTAGGAAATACACTAGAACAGATAAGTATGGGGAATGACTTCCTAAACAGAGCTCCAAAGGATCAGCATGTAAGAGAAACAATGAACAAATGGGACTGCATTAAACTGAAGAGCTTCTGCACAGCAAAAGAAACAATCACCAGACTCAAGGGACATCCCACAGTTTGGGAGAAAATCTTTGCCAGCTACTCATCTGGCAAGGGTCTAATATCCAGAATCTACAGGGAACTAAAAAAACTCAGCCCCCAAAGAATCAACATCCCAATGAAGAAATGGATACACAAATTAAATAGGGAATTCTCAAAGGAAGAGAAAACAAATGGCCAGTAAATACAAGAAGTATTCAAATTCCCTGGTTATAAAAGATATGCAAATCAAAACAACACTTAGATTTTATCTCACCCCAGTTAGAATGGCCATAATCAAGGGTAATAACAACAACAAATGCTGGTGAGGATGTGTAGAAATAGGAACCCTTGTACACTGCTGGCGGGAATGCAAATTAGTACAACCATTATGGAAAACAGTATGCAGATTCCTCAAAAAACTAGAGATAGAACTGCCATACGATCTACCCAAAAGAATGTAAAACAGGATAGAGTAGAGACACCTGTATACCAATGTTCATCGCAGTGATATTCACAATAGCTAAGTTCTGGAAACAACCCAGATGTCCTACAACTGATGAATGGATCATGAAATTATGGTATAGCTACACAATGAAGTATTACTCAACCACAGTAATAATGACACGGGGTTTGAAGGTAAATGGATACAATTGGAGGACTTTGTGTTAAGTGAAGTTAGCCAGGATCAGAAATACAAAAGATGCATGTTTTTTTCTCATATGTGGAAGATAGATCCAAGAAAAACATATACACAAAAATGAACATGATCACATGCAAACTCAGTTGTAGAACATGTTTGTAACAGTGGAACTGCTCTATGGAACTCTGGGAAAGAGGGAAAGGAAAAGAAAGTGATGGAGCATCAGTAACATTGCATGCCACAAGATGTGAAGGTAGAGGATATAAGAATGTGTACTGGAAGATGTTGAAAAACGGGAGCTGAGAGGTAAAGGGGTAAGGGAGAGTATTGTAAGGGATTGAACAGACCAAAGTAAAGCACATCCACAAAGGGCATACATGGAGACGCCCCTCTGAATGTCAACTTAAATATTAATTTTGAAAACCAGGACTGTAAAAAGACACAGTGTGTGTGTATCAGGGGGTACTAGTGGGAGAGGGAGGGTGAACTAAGATTAACGTGACAGTATATGGTAGATGGACTTCATATACCTATATGAAACAGAACTAGAAAACCTCCTGCAATTGCTTTAAGTGAGGTGGAGAGGGGTCTGAAGGGGAGAGATGATTGGGCAATGTAACCAGTGTACAATATAAGTCTAATTGGAATTATCACTATGAAACCCCCCCCGTATCATGAATATAGCCTAATAAAATTTATTGAAAAAAAGAAATGTTGATGCTATGTGAGTCTGTGTCCAAAACACAGTCTAACTCTTCTTACACACAATAGTCTTTACATATTTGGTAATAACTTGTGGGTTTTTTTTTGTCATGCTGGAGATTGGTAATAACTTTTTAATCACTTTTAGTTATTTCTTCAGGCTAAATCTTGCTGATTCCTCTATTATCAAATTATTATCATCCATTTATGGATATAATTTAGCTTATCAATATTCATCTTAAAAAGTGGCACATAGAACTGATTCATGCACTTCCATAGAGAATACTACAGGGATATCATTTTCTAAGATGTAATAGCGTTATATTTTATCGCATTATTTTTCATTAGTATTTTAAAGAGGTTTTGTTTGGATGGTCTCTAAAACTTCTATGACTCAGCCTGGCACTATGGTGCACACCTGTAGTCCCAGATGCTTGGGAGGCTGAGATGGGAGGATTGCTTGAGCTTAGCCTTGGCAACACAGTGAGACCTTGTTTCAAAAAGAAAAAGAAAGCAAATTTATGTGACTTTAGGAACTCCTTTTAATGCAAAATGAAATTTAAAATTACAAGTATTAAATTAGTTTCAGACTTGTGAAAACAAGACATCCTGAACTTCGTTCCATTAGTTTCCATGTAAATCTGCCTCAAGATGTATAATAAAATCCTCATAAAATTCTGTTACTGTTTAGATCTCAAGTGTCTCTCAAAAAGTCATGTGTTAAGACATGGTCCCCAGATGATGGCGCTATTGGGAAGTGGTGGACCTTGGATGTGGCACCAAGTTGGAGGAAGTTAGATCATGGGGGTGTGCCATTGAGGGGTGGGTATATTGGAACTCCAGCCTCTTTCCCTCTCTCTTTTTGCTCCCCACCTTTCAGGAGGTGATTTGCTTTGCCTAACTATGAGCTCCCTGCTATAATGTCTGCCTCACTATTGGTCAAAGCAATGGGCCACATAACCACAGACGGAACCATCTGAAACCATGAACAAAAATAATCTTTTCTCCTTATAAGTTGTTTATCTCAGGTATTTTGTGACAGTATTGTAAAACTGACTACACAAATTTCCAGCTCTTCTTACCCAAAAAACTGACTCCACAAATTTCTAGCTCTTCTTATCCAGAATGTGAGCAATTAGGATTCCACTCTGTGTTAGCATACATTATCAACTGTAACTTTTGTACTTGACATATGAAATTGTGATTAAGTAAATCAACATATGTAAGGGATTGGAATAATGCCCAGCAAATAAAACACATAATAAATGTTAGCTATTAATTTTATTGTTCATTAGAAAAACCTGAGCAAATAATTTATCTTCCCAACTCTTTTTATTTTTTTAGATAATAGCACATATTAATTGTACAAAGGAGGTTCTTTGTGATCAACTTTTTTGTTGATGTAGTAGAAATAATACTGGCTCTGCCTTTTACATAGGATTATTGTGAGGATCAAATGATAAAATATGTGAGTGTATTTTGTTACTTGGGAAGCATAACCATGGAAAGTATCATTACAGAGGTTTCATTAGACTTTGACAGAGGTGGAATCACAAAAGAACTTAGTAGAGGTGGGAGGAAGCAAAAGAGAAGAGGTGGCAAATGAACAACATGCAAAGGTTCAGAAGAGCTGAAATAAGTAGAAACAGCAATATAATGACACACAAGAAAAGAACCGGATGAGGGTATCGTGTGTGTGTGTGTGTGTGTGTGTGTGTGAGTGTGTGTGTCTACAATTTGACTCTGACTTACGGTTTTCTGATTTACAGACACTTCATTTCTGCCATACTTTGCAATCCAGGTTCCCAGTCTTCTCTACTTACTCTTAGGGCTGAGCATAAAGGCCCCTCTTCCACAGGGTCTCCCCAATCCCTCCTGTCCCTCCCGCAGGAGGAATAAATGGTTCCTTTTCAAGCTCTTTCTGTGAAAGCCGTTCTTTCACTCCAGACTGGGGGGGACCCAGTTCCCTTCATTCTGTGTCTCGTGGATCTGCTCTACTGTGTACCACGGAACAGGCAACCCAGTGAAGGTTAGTCAGTGAATGCACTTCGAAGAAAGAACTTTTAGAAGTTGAGAGGGCATTTAAGGCCAGGGTCCACAGTAAGAACGCCTTGTTCACAGGCATTAGCTGTCATCATCTCAAGCTGCTTGGAGGGCGAAACGCGCGCCTGCACCGCGCTACCCAGCGCCAGAGCTCCGCAAATCCCGCGGGAAGGCCCCGCCCCCTAACTCCGGCCGACGGGGCGGGGCCTGGGGTGCCGGGGCGTGGCCTGCCCGCGGGGGTTTCCGCGCCCGGGGCGCGCCGGGCGGGGCCGCGGGAGGGGCTTCCGCCAAGAGGGGGCGGGGCCGGTGTGCCGAGGGCGCTGACGGCCCCAGCCAGGGAATTTCAATTTGAAACCTAGCGGAGGGAGGAGGCAGGCGCGGCTGGCCGGCGGCTGGGACAGGAGCGGAAAGGGGTCCCCGGGAGAGCGACTTCCTGGGGTGCGGCGTGGGGGTAAGGAGGAATGCGGGCTGTGGAATGGAGGGCCTGGGGTGCGGGTCTCGGCCCGGGTGACTAGTATCTGAGGAGCTGAGGGGCGGCTCGGATTTTCCTTGTGGCTGCAGCTGGGAAGCTGGTCCCGGGCAGGAAGCGGTGGCGGGACGGGCTGGCCCGGAGGCGGGGGAGGGGTCCGGATCTGAGATTCCCTTCAGCTCCTTCTCCCCTCTCCCTCCGTCTCTCCCCTTTCCCCTTCCCAGCCGAGCGGGGAACATGGTGAGGACCACGCTGTCCCCTCCGGTGCGCGGGGAGCCGCGGGTCACGCGTCTGGGCCCCGCGGCGCCGCAGCGGAGGAAGCCGACTCCATCCTGGCGCGGGGGCTGCGGGGCCGGACCGCGGCCGTGTCCCCTCGGGAGGGCGGTGTGGGGACGGGAATCAAGGCCCGGCCGTGCGTGGGGGCTGTGGGACCCAGTGAGGGCGGCGCGGGGCTCCACGCGTGGCGCAGGTCGGCTGGCGTGGGCCGGAGCCCGCCACCCGCCTCCGCGCCGCCGCCTGCGTCCCCGGGCGCCGCGGGGAGGACGCGTGTTCTCCTCTCCGAGCCTTGCAATTCCTACGCCCCGGCTTTTACCACCGATGCCTTCTTTTTCTTCTCCGACGCAGGGGCAGAGAAGTGGGGACAGTTTTAGGTGAGCAATAACCGGGCCGACGGGGTCGAACGAGGCGTTCGGGGACCCCATCCGCAGCCGGTCACGATGTCCCCAGTCACCGGGACGTCTGCGGTGGACTTGGGTCATTATGATTCTCCAGGTGTCAGCCCCTGGCAAAGAGGTTTTTTTGATGAGGTTAGAGGGGCTCCCACTTCGTAAGTATATTTTGGAAGGGGTCTGTGTGTGGAGCCTTCCCTACAGACCCAGGACGCCGTCCATTAAATTTTCCTGTCGCCCTAACGGTGGGTGCAGGGAGAGTGGAACCCAGAGGAGCTGTAGATAGATTTTCTCTTTTTTGAAATCACGTCTTTTCTCACTTCCTTGAAGTTCGTGTCTGTAAAATGGCACATGTGTGGTGGGATCCTCTTGTCACTGTTGTTTTATATTTATATTTTATAACTTTCATAGTTTTTCTTGGGGTTAGCACTTGAGCGAAACTGAGTCAAGTTCTTGGCTGTGGGCATGGGATTTAGAGTTCCCAGTCATTGCACAGGTTTTCCTGGGAACGAGGAGGACTAATGGGCTTCAGTTTCCTTTTGTAGGTTCTGGGGCTGTATTGCAATGCAATCTTGAATTGTGGTAAGGAACAACTGAGTCCATCCATCAGGCTGCTAGTCTAGTTTTAAAGAGCTATGCTGTGTCACCTATTAGAGCTGAGATCATTTCTACAATTCAATTTGAGAGCAACCATCAAACCATCAGATATCTAGTCTTTGGAGGTTGTTGGAGAACTGTACAGATGGGAATGGCTTGGAACAATGGTGTGGATTTAGGGCTAATTTAATCCTATTCTGTCTTTCTCACTTCTTGGGCAGGATTCCCACTGAAGTCAGTAGTGGTCTTGTGTGCAGACTGACTGCTGAAAACAAGAGGCTGCTCATTAACAGTAATGGGAGGGGAGTGTTCCTTTCCCCTTAAAACCTTCCTCTTTAGGAAAAACCTGGGCATAACAGTTCTGTAATCTTTTACTGCTAAAAGAAGTAGGGCATCATATGTGGAAAAACCTTCCAAAGAAAATGTGTGGCTGAATTGAGCCACCAACCTTTAAACTCTTTTTGAGATCTAAATTGGATAAGGATTGTTTGAAAAGATAAAAAGTTATAAAAAAATTTAGCATTAATTTCAATAAAATATTTGCTATTTTGTGTAAAAAATAAACTGCCATGGAATGTTTTGAAACAATTGGTTGTGTATTTTTAAAATCTGATTTTTTGGTTTTTTTTAAGCTAGGGTCTGGCCATTTTAAACCAGGGTCTCCCTGTGTAGCCCAGGCTGGCCTCAACTTTTGACTTTCCTGCCTCAGCCTCCCTGAATGCTGGGATTACAGGCACTCAGCCACCCCGCCTAGCTTTAAAATTTGAAATTTAAGTCCAAATAGAAAGAAACAAATTTGGAGATGTAGGGAGAAATCTGAAGAGAGGCCAACCAGAAAGTAAGTTCAAGAAGAAACCTAGGAAATTCAGAAGCTCTGGCTGTATTTTGAGACAGCGTTAGTACAGTTTGCTCACGTACATCACACGTTCCTCAGAAATTAGTGACTAGCAGGCCCCCTCATTAGATCTGTGAGAACTCAGCTTTCCAGTTTAGCTTCACTGATCTGAGTTGGTGAGCTTGTTAGGTCTTTTGCTTCTTAATGTAACGTTCTTGTGGTTTACCCTTTCCAAATTACCGGTTCTAAAGAATTGAGTTTAGAAAACCTAACCAGTGACCAGAATGTAAAAATAGATATTTAAAAATCAGAACCATGTCCACGTGTGCTACCCAACAACCACTTGCTTTCAACTAAAAATACTTGCAAAGATGACAAAGCAGCCTCCACCAAAATATTTATTGGTAAAATTTCTCTGTAATTAGTAATATTGTATAGTTGTATTTAACATCAGGTTGTGCTCTAAATCACTATTCTCACATTACTGTGGCTAGTGACCCATAAAGGTTGTATCTTTGCCGTTTTATTTAGGAATGTGGGGTTTGTATTTTAGATGGCAGCTAAATATTGTTGGAGATTTGATTTTGTTTCTGTTTCCACGGAAAAGCATGGAATTTTTCTCTTTTTGAACTGAAATACTCTTTAAAAGCTGTTGGTGGACTTTTTTTTTTGAAAAATATGAATTGCTGGTTTTTAAAAATAAGGCAATAAAACTTTATAGAGATTAATTAGTACCATCAAGTCACATTTTGCATTTCTGAAATCTGTATTGTTTACTTGGAGAAAACAAAGGAAATTGTACCTACCTCTTCCACCCCACCTTTATTTAGAAACATTTCCAGTGGCCTTGTTTGTTTTTTTTAGATTCAGAATTACTGTACCTAACCACTGGGTACCCTTACAGATTTCAAAACCTCAAGTAAATGTTTGTGCTGGCTTCAGTAGTCAGCAAATATGAGCCAAACCCTAATTTGCTGCCCTTTTATAGAATCTTGGAATCTCAGGGCTGCACTGTTACTAGTCAGCAAATCCACACTTGTTCTCATCCCTTCAACACACAAACATTTCTAGCTACTTTGGAAGTCCTGAGTAAATAGAAGATTTATGTATGATTCCCCCACAGATTCTAGACAGAGCATCCTTTGGAATGCCATGTTTTGGCATAAAACAGCAGCTTGATATTCATAACATTTCTATCATTCCTCTGTCTGGGCAGTGCTCTAGACTAAAATCTACAATGCAGCCAATGCCTGGTGTCATTTAACTATGGGGGAATGGCATCCACATTAGCTATAAATGGTATAGTAATAGTATAATTTTTTTAGAAGTTACAAGTAAAGCAGAAAAGAAAGGAAAGTCATCTATAATATCATCTAGAAATGATTGATAGTTATAACTAATGTCTTTTGGTAGTTTATAAGTGTGTGCATGTGTATTTCATATGGAAGAAAAGGGAATATTACATATATTTGCTAGGTGGGGTACTTTCACATTGTACTTAATAAATTTTTGAAGAACTGGTTCATTGAACCTTTATGTATTGAAGTACTTTTAGTAAAGATTCTTTGAAAATTGGATTTGACTTTGTAGAAACTGGTTATAGTTGATGTAGAAATACCATGTAGGTAATAAAGATGGCATACTGCTGGCTCACTCCTGTAATCCTAATGACTTGGGAGGCAGAGATCAGGAGGATTGTGGTTCATAGTTAGCCCTGGCAAATAGTTCAAGAGACCTTATCTCAAAAATATCCAACATGAAAAAGGGCTGGCAGAGTGGCTCAAGTGGTAGAGCACCTGCCTAATAAGTGTGAGGCCCTGAGTTCAAACCCTTGTAAAACAAATAACAAACCCTGCCCCCTTATTTTGTGGTTGGCCTTACACATGTGCTTTTCATGTCTTGCAGGGTAGATAATTACATTGTTTTCCTGGTTTGAGAGATAGCATTTTATTTTAATGAGAATTTCAGGGGTCTTCTGAATTTTCTTATTTAAAGTAGTATCTCTTATCCCTTTATCAGACGAGGTGTCATACGGCCTGTGAATGCCTTTGTACTGCTTCTGGATTTTTTTCCCCCAGAGATTGAAATTTTTTTGAGCTAATTTCATATATTCTCAATTATTGTTAAAATTAAACATGTTTTCACTTCATAGGTACCTCTCCTTTTGGTATTTTTTCATTTTAGCATATTAGAGCTAAGGTCTGATGTATGTAGGTTGTCTCCCAAATAATCTTTATGCTAGTAATAAACTATCTTTTCTGTGATCTAAAGGTTTTACTTTAGATAGCAAAGTTGAAATTTGGCATGTGTAACTAAATCCAGCATCACAGGGATGGTTTAGTTCTTTCTCAGTTAGGAATCAGAGGGCATGGAAAGTGTTCCAAAGTGATTTTGTCTCTGTTCAGCTATAGGGCCTTATTGCCTAGGTCAGGTATGGAAGTTCATGATAGGTAAACTAAATCTTTTATGGTATAATTGAAAAGCAAGTTTCCTCTTGCGTTGCTTTTATTACGGCCTGGCTTCCAGCCTTCCTGAAAGAATAACACTTAAAGACTTACATTCCCTTCAGATGCCTTTTTCTGGGATTATTGTGTTTTTAAAGACTTGTCATTGAGGTCTGATTAACAACTGTCAGTCACCTTTTCTAAGCCCTAAATTCAGGTTTCCATAACTCTTGATGAGCTTCAGAGCTGGACCCATCACTAGGACAACAACAATGCTGTGTTTACTCAGATCTTTTACTTTCCTATATTCTGCCAATGTTTGTACACATCTCAGTAGTTCAAAGGTATAACATTTAAATGTAATATACTTTGCTATAGTACTTTTCCTTTTTATTCTAAAAGCCCACTGTTTGGGCTGGTGGAGTGGCTCAAGTGGTA